TTTATTTCGTTCTTTGCAGAAATGGATGTTTTAGGTAGAAAATCAAGCCATATATGGGATATTCTAGACGCATAATCCTCACACACATGAGGTTCTAGGAGAGAAGACATAGTACGACCAAAACTGGCCGTACCAGGAGCTACTGCCTTCATGACGTCATCCCTGAGATCTTCTGTGAAGGGATCCTTCACAACAGAGGTGCCCTGATACCCCATTCCACCCGTTTGCACTATATAAAGAAGAAGGAGCCCCCACTAATAAAGAGAGGAGAGCAACAATTCCCATGCAACTGTCATCATGACCATTACCATCTACGCAACTGTCATCAACGCCCCATCTCCATAGCCATCTTCACCACGATAGCCTTGATCTACATTAGTTTAGTTACTTGTAATTGAGATTCCATTGCGATTAATGACATTGTAAGACTTTCAATCATTCATCTTTGAGTATATATTTCTATAATGTATATTTATTGTGATTCAATCACGATGTGTGACTAATCATCTTAGGCTAAGGGTTGATACATAGGCTCGCAACCCCGTGTACGTGCAAGAAGGGGTCACCTTTTTTTTTACTTAAAGAGAGCAATATTCTATATTGTTGTGTAGCTATTGTGTCTCTTGTCTCTACCTCGATCCCAGGGCTCACCGGTACCTGAGACTCCAAAGATTGGAACTAGTAGATGTCTAGGGAAGAGAGGAGATGAAAGCTATGTCGAAAGTTGGTGATAGTAAGATTAATACGGTAGTCAGAATCAAGTCTTTTGGGGAGACTATAATGCAGCCATCAAATGCTAAGGTGGTGGTCTGATTTATCCTTAGTAACCGAGGTAGCCCCATGAGTCAGATAGGGCCAAGGTTGGACAATCGCTCCTCGATGTGGTGATGGTCGGTCGTGGTGCTTCTAGGACACATCTCTTACATAATATGTTTACAAGATACACTATACGGAGCTGCAGACATGGACGATGCACCTTGCGGATGTCAGAGGGTGCCGTCGGTGATGAGTCCATCGGTTTTGCCAAGACTGGAGGAAGCCCATCGAGCACACATCGGTTTTGCCATAACCGTGCGGCCGTGTAGGGTCGTCACTGTAGTGACGCCGTGTCGATGCAGTCGTGCCGTCGTGGATGACGCGGTCATTGCCGTCGTCGTGACGCGGTCATTGCCGTCGTCGAGGTCGCGTCTTGCAGAAAAGTCTGTCAGAGGATGCTAGGTGTCCATCTTGTGGACACGGCAGTGGCGGTGTGTTGACGAAGATGTTGATGAAGACCACGTTGATGAAGACCTTGGCGATGAAGTGTCGGCTACAGTGTTGCGGCGGCGTGTCGACGATGATGCGTCGCTTGAAGGCGTCCCTCTGCGGCGACCGAGTGTCGATGCAGTGTCGCGCCGGAGAAGTCAGTGAAGAATTGCATCGTCTGGATGATGCATATTGCAGTGCTTCCCTTAGATGTAATCGACGAAGTTTGTTTCTTTTCTTTGGCGATGTAGTCATACAACTTGTCATACAGCTTGATGTAGATGGCAGGCCGTCGCCCAGAAGACCGATATAGTTGGCTTGGTGCAGATTTGCAGATCGCGTGGGTGGGCGTGCCTCGAAGTAGAAGACCTGCGGGCTCTCCCGGTGTCCCGTGCTGCGAGCCGGCTCGGTGAAGATGTTGACAACGTGCGGTGCTGCCAATCGGGTGTCGCCGGATCGAAGCTGTCCGGAGTTGCGCCCGTGACGAGGTTGTCGATACAGATCGATGTCGTGCAGGTTGCCGACTCGCCGTATACTCCTAGTCGATGATGCTGGCCCTCCTGGCCTGCGTGTGTGGCGTCCGCTCTTGAAGCCGGCCGCATGGAGCAGCGCCTGGTGTCGCGTAGCCGCGTACGCATACGCTTGATTGGATCCAAGTCCATGACTGCCTGCACGCGCCGGACGGATGATGATGGAGAGTGCCTGACCGCGCTACCTGTTGTGCGTCGCTGGATCGAAGCAGCTCTAGGCGTGCTCGAACCATCGGCCTCGGGTAGATCGATGTCGACAGATGCTTGGCCATAGATGCCATGCATCTGTCGATGCTATGTCAGAGTTGCTTTCCGCCGTCAGGAGATCCGCGCACTCGTACTCGATGGAGGTCGCCGCGGGAGCTACGCCCTCCCGTGATCGGGCGTGCGTTTCCTTTCCCAGCTACACGCCAGGGTCGTCGTGGTCCTTCTCCTCGCTTGAGGGAGAGGCCGCAGTAGATCGGTGACTGCGTCCCCGTGCTTGTCACCGGATTGAGGTCGTCGAATTATTTGGTGGCAAAAAAAAAATTTCTACTAGATGGAATTTTGAGATTGATCTAATCTAAACTAGAGAACCGATATACTATTTGATTGACGGTTGCCGCGCCCCCGGGGAGAGGAGATGAATCTCCCCGAGGGCGGCGCGCTGCGGAAGTGGTGGAAAACCTAGGATCGGCGTCGTGAGACAAACCGCTCTAATACCATGTAGAAAACTGTAGGATGATAATATTGTGTTGTATCTGTTGTATTGATGTGACCCTCCTATGGGGTATATATAGAATACACGAGGGGGTAGAGGCTTGGAGTACAAGATAAGTAATACATGGTTTAAACCTATTCGATCTACTCCTTATCTCTATCTTTAAACCCAAACTATATTCTAACATTTACCAGTGCGATGATGACCATCTAATTCATATCCCAAATACGTGCACAACTACAGGTGAAACCTTACCTCTGGCCTATTTCCTTATATTGTTTCAATCTCTGCGATAACTGTTGGTCCGGGGAACTAGAATATTTGAGATAATAAGGACTTGCAGATAATTCCTTGCCAAGTTTAATTCACTTCTTGGATTAGATAAATCCTAGGGTATCTAGGAAAGAAGGCTATAACTACATCCAAAACTGGATCGAAGGTAATCAGGCACATAGAGGCATGTAACTATTTTTCTGCGTGAGCACTGGTGACACAAACCAAATTCGTGAAGTTTGAGTGGCAGCCTTGGAATACCGGAGTTACTTAGTGGCAAGAACCAAAATTTCCCTTGTCATTATGCCAGAATTTGAGTCCTTTGTGTACCATGGGCGTTGCAGGCATTGTGTACTAGTGCATGATGGTCTGTCCCAATCGATAGTGTGCACAAGTCTTCTGAAACATTATTCATAGTTCTCACATGTTTTGAAGCCACTTTGGGAACACCTTCTAAAGATCCTCATCGATGTTATTGACAACCCTTTTCATTATTTCTTCCTTGCAAAGCCTACAAAAGCAAAAAAGGAACTTCCTATAACACGATTAATTTTTTTCCGTAAAGTTCTTTTATGAATTAATAAGGTGAAGAAAACTTACTACATCTAACCATGTGCCTCTAGAAAATTGTTAAGTACATACCAAATCATTGCATTGAATTCCTTGTTGAAATGTTTCATGTGGATTGCCCAAAGGCTTTTGCCCCATTTGAAAAAATACATTGCTCATCTTTACCAGGTTTATGCTGCTTATTTGTTCATGTCAGGCCCTGTTAACTCTGATTTATACATCATCATGCAAATATCTGGGTAAAAAGTTAAGCACACATCCACGATATATAGCCCTCGTCAACTGAACCTTTGAGCCTTGTTTTTGTTACAAACAGTTCCCTTAAGATATCCTACTCTTCCCTCAACTAGATACATCCAACCACATTGAATAGAGCCCCTTAGAAGTGCCTCATCAGGGAGATGGGTAGCTAAGTGCACCATTACATCAAAGAAGGGAGAGGGTAGATCTTCTCAAGCTTGCATAGAATTAAAGGAATTCCAACATTCATTTTTTCTCACGACATCAATGTTTTGGCAGATAACTCCCTAAAAAATCTTCCCAATTCAACAATAGCCTGATATACAATTCCTTTAAGTGCAGCTGGTAAAGTACTCTGCAGAAGTATGTGGCAGTCAAGCATCTTCGAACAATGTACTCCACATATTTGTTTGGTGAGAAGTCAAACTTTATAATGTTTGATCAAGTTTATCGAAAATCATTTAACACACACAATACAAAATCATTACCATTAGATTCATCATTGAATGTATTTTCACTTCATATAGATTTTATTGTGAATTTTCATATTTCTTTTCTATAAACTTGGGTCAAACTTTACAAAATTTCATTTTAGTCAAAGCTAATATACGAAGTAAATAAAAACGAAGGGAGCACACAAGTTATCAGATGCCACAGTCATACTTGCTTCTACTCCTTCTTTCTCCGAAGGGATCGATAATGATAAATTGTAAAGTGCAACCGGAAACATCCGAATCTTGAAGATAGACACGACAGGAATATTCTACCAAGCACAAGTTCATAAACTCTACACACAAGTACAGGGGATGATTTACACCACTGATGCTTACTCCAAAACTTTTTGGGGATGAGTAATACTGTACAGAATGAAAAATACATGCTAGCGTCTGAGAGATCAAGCGCCTTTGATTTCCTTACAAACCTAGTATTATGTACACACACATATGTTTTCTTCTTTTTATTCCTAACCAAGTGCCCACAATCTTCGTTATACATACATATATAATTATGCTTGCTTCAATAATATGGTCCCAGCCAAGGACTAGATTATCCTGTTTGCAGGATCTTCAGAATTCAGAAGCTTTGCTCCTGAAAAAAATACAACAAGAGATGTACCTTGTAAGTTCACTTATCTCAACCTCTCAAATTTAGAAACGGGCTACATTGACATTTGCATTTCAATGGGAGAAACATGCATGCCCCCATTTGTTTGGATAGTTTTGTGTAGATGCTAGGGCATGGTCGATCACTATAATTATTTTGTAGATGCTAGGCTAGGGCATGGTCGATCACTACAATTATTGATAGTTATGAGAAGTGTTTGAGCTGAGATCGATCACTATATATAGCTCTGAGCTAGGACCTGCTGATATTTCACACTTATAAACTGTAGACAAGAGACAAGGATCCGGTTGGGTTTTGGTTATACCTTGATTGATGAATCAGTTCCAAGCCCCCTGGGTGCTGTAGTTGGGGAAAGGGACCCTGCCGGACTCGATCAGCTTGATGTCGCCGTCAAGGATCTCGTAGTGGCGGCGCACCTCGTCGGCCGTCTTGGTGCCGCCCATGGCGCGGGACACCTTGAGCCAGCGGTCGGGCGTGCCCTCGCCGTAGTAGGCGAGTGCATCCTCGAACAGCTTGTTCTCCTTCTTGCTCCACTCCGGGTTGGCGCCGCCGCGGGATGCGCTCCTTGACCCAGAAGAAGACATCTCCAACTGGATCGGAAACCGAGCTATGTTTGCACTGATTGATGGCTTTTGCACTTGAGAAGCTCTGATGGTTATGGTTTGATGATCGCTGTGCTGCTTCGGTGCCCGCTATTTATAGGCGCTTGTAGCTCGTATCGCAGCTTGATTGCCATGTCGGCCTGAGGATTGAAAGGTCAGTGGCTAATTAGATTCTGAACTTTTTTGGACGAAGGTGCTTCCTTTGGAATGTAGATTCTCGTGCTGCGACTGCGATACGCATAATTTGTTGATCCACACGTCAACGTCTCAAATGTTGTTTGTTTTCTTGAACTTGCAGCAAAGAGTCAGGTTTCTACGGGTTTCGGACCATATTGCGATTAAGATTCAAAATAAAGTCGATCGAACAGCTAGCGTCTGGCCACTCCACCAGTCATTCCTAACGACGTGGCGTCCTCCCCAGCCGATGGAAACATGGCGACGAGTAGGTGACTACGTCTGCACACTTTGGAGCTGCTCCATCCGATCGACGTGATAAGCAGATGCTCATGCCTCTTGGAGGGTGTTGAGTTGTGTTGTAATGGGTTGTTATGCATGCCCACGTGTATAGGATCGAGGGCCTGCGTGCCTTATGACTCGGGCAATGCCCTGTGTATAAATACCATGTATGTAACACATAATCATCAATAGAGATAGTGAATTGATTCTCCTACTGAGGGTGCAGTAACGATCAAGGCCACATGCAGAAATTCGCCTTTCTTGTCCACCGGTGCCCGCGCTATGGATCGAGCGAGGTACTAGATAGAGAGATAGGCCAGCTAGCTAGGGACCTAGGGTGGCGGGTGGGTATAGGAACGATCGAGCCGAGAGAATAATCTAGGGCACATCAGGATTGGGATGCTCTTTTTGGCTGGGGAAAAGGAGTAAATATTCTGAATCCTGGCTGAAGTGATGCCTGGATTCCAATCCCGCAAGTTGGTGCCTGGAATCCGAGGCAGATTTGGGATCCAGTTTGATGCAGACCTGCACGCGGTGGCTGCGTGTGAAACCCAGTCAAAAACACCTCGACGAACACTAATCTCCGTGCTTTGAGTTTGCCTAGTATGAGCTCTCTGCCTAGCAGAAATTCGCCCTAAGTATAGCTGACAAGATGCATTTCAGAAAGGAGGTTCAAAAATCAGAATTTGACGGGGGAATTCTGAAAACCGCGCTTTATGCAGATTATATTCCACGGAGATCGATCTGCTCGGCCCAATGCATCTCCGGTCTACTGTGCTGGGGCAAGATTCCTGGTTTATTTGGTCCACGGCGAGCACCCGATGGATCCGAGCGCCTCCACATGAGCTAGCTTCTCCCGTAAACATCGAGCATATGGCAGTGAAATCTTCGCGTTGTGGCATTGGGAGATCTCGCAATACCACGGCCCCCGTGGCCAACTGAGGAACATGAGCAGAGTCACAGCCTCACAGGACCATGGATCAAAGGCATCGCAACCTGATCAAGTGATCATGGCATAAAGTTAAATTCCTTCTCCAAACATATCGGAGACGTGGGTGGGGAGATTCATTCTTTCTTTTTGCCAAAAACTAGGCGTAAAGTGGTAGCTTTTGGGACAAAATGGTAAAATGGTAGGGTTGCATAAATTGTGGTAGTTTTTTGTTTGTTAAACACTCTGGGGAATATTATCACTCCCCACAATTTAGAACCGGGCTCACCGCCGATCTGCCAGCATATGACGTACCAGGAGCATATACCCGGGTGCAGCAGATCCAAAACGTACACCACATGCACATGCTTCAGAAGTCGCCACCACCATCAATCGCTGACCCATCTCCAGGAAAGAGATCCACATTATACTTGCGAGGCCGGCGGGCAACCGACCTCGCCGCGGTGCCAAACATGCCACCGCCCTACGCTCATCCATCCAGCCTCATTCATCGCCAAGACTGAGCTGAACCATGCCGCTAAGACCCGCCGTAGTTGATGCGGTAGATGCCATGCCGCTCCACCTGCCAACCTCCAGACCACCACCATCGCTCGAGCCCTTGTCCGGAGCCCAACGCACACAACCACACTCTCCCTGAAACCCAAACCTCCCAAATGGCACCTCCATGGGGGGTATGATGCGCATGGTGCCACCGCCTCCCAATCCAAGGCTGAAAACTGAGATGAAGTTCGGTTTTGGGATGATACTTAAACATGTTTGTGGCTTTACATTGGTTGCTTTGGCTATGTAGATATAATATAGTCGTTAATAATACAGTAGCTATGAGGTCCTAGATCTGCCGCTGATGAGAAAGGAATCTACCACGTCAAGGGAATATCTAGAGCACACTTATTCACTGCGTTGTCATTGCTGTCGAAGCCACAACACCAGTCGACCGAAATTCTAACGACTGAGTCCTAAACCTACAGAAATTTGAAATATGCTTTCTCCCCGCTTTATCAATAAAGTAACCATCAAGTTTAACAGCAGCAAATGAAATAAAGTTGTCTGCTGGGGCATCAGCACAAACATGCCCAAAAAAGCATAAAGGAAATAAAGAAAAAAACCACCAAATGGCCGGCCTGAACCTACAGAAAACACGACTTGAACGCGGGGCTCCATTGACCCACCTACTCACTGATATCCGTGAGGCCATCATGAGGAGAGGAGTCGCTAGAGAATGGTGGCAAAAAGGAGAACACCCTCGGGAATTGCCTCCGTTTATTTCCTGGGATTCAGTCTGTTTAGCAAGGTTTGGAGGGGCATCCATAAGTAACTCCAATTTACAAAGATCAATGCAATATTTAAGGTTCATGGACTGCTTAAAATCATGGGCCAAAGGATTAATTGGCAGAGAAAATTGCAGCGAAATTTAGGCCAGCAGGCACAGCTCTCCTGCAATATCGGCGCTATCTTCCGCCATTTTGGGAGGCAAGCAAATAGTACGGCAGTTTCTAAACAGTGATAGCAGCGCAATTGCATTGACTCGCAAGCGGTTTAATTGGCACCTTAATCTTTCAAATATGTTTTCTGTGGAACACTACTCATCGCATTGATGAGGTCCCCTGTATACACACTATTAGTATTCAATCGTCATTTGAATAAATCTGGTGTTTGTGATAAGTTGACCAACATCAACCTACACACCAAATGTAATCACGTTACCCATTTTTCCCCAATCAAAGCCCGAGTAATTAAACTGGATGTTATAGGTGTAGATCCCATAATTGAGTGCACAGTCTCATTTTATTCTACGTACCACATTATTTAACAATGGGTATTGTAGAGCAAGCAGGTTGTCCCCAACCAGACAATCGTTTTCCTCCTGTCCCTGGCGCTGGCGCTGGAACCCTAGCCGCCGCCAGGAGACCAATCTTCCAGCGCCGTCCTTCGGCGGCTCCCCTCCGCCGGCGACCTCGGTCGTCAGTGGCGAGGGGGGCCGCCGGGATCCACGTGTGTGGATCGTTTTTTACTCTCTCGTAGTTTAGATTTTTAGGTTGTTCATCGTCTTCGTTTTGGCGGCAACGATGGCAGCGCTGAATAAAGATTCTTCGGATCCTTCCTTGACAAGGCCATCGGTCCTATGGTTGGGGATGGATTTGGAAACCAGTCTGTTCAAGCAAGGATGGCGTGGCGGCGGCGGCATCCTCATGGTGGACATGTGTCCTCGGGCTCCGCCGTTGCGACGGCGTTTGCTCCAGCGTCGACGCGGAGCTTGGGAGGTAGTCCAGGAGCGGATGCAGATTGCGGTCTGCATCGACGACATCTGGAAGACGGAACATGTGCTGGGTTCGTGGTTCGTGGATGGCAGGTATGGTTTTCTTCTGCGACGTCTTAGTCGCGGTGGGGTGCCAGATCTGGAGTTCGATGGCGTGTCCGGGGTGTTGCCCCGGTCTGATTCGTTCAACGGTAATGACTTCACTTTTGGTGAGCCACCTTGGAGGTCCGCAAAGCTACATATCAGCGTTGGAGGCGCATCGAGCTCGGGTGAGGAGGTGATCCATCATTCTTTTCTTCGGTGGCTGCTGTCGTGGTGCCGGAGGCAGGTGATGGGCGTTGGTGTCAAGCTCAGAGATGTTCTGCTAGCTTTTCAGTTTTGTCATGTCGGTCCTTACGTGACTTGTACTTTAATCTTTATGATATGAATGAGACACGTATTATCATGCAAAAAAAAAGGTTGTCCCCAACCAAGTATCTTTGCAAAAACTCGTAGAATGGCCATTGCCAACCTCAAACGAATCTCTCTTAAATAAAGAAGACTTGACTTCGTCAAGCCCTTCCAAAAAGGGGAGTCCATTGATTTTGCTTCCACCTGAGTTGGAGTTCTGGAATATAGGTAAGCTCTTGCCATACACCTTCCTTGTTAAGCAACTTGTATAGCTTTTTGCTAAGCAAGCACTTGTTTTTTATCTTTAAGTTTTTAATACCGAAACCACCTTGAGCCTTTGGCCAACAGAAGATATCCCACTTATCTAGTATGCACTTCTATTTATGCTCATCGCACTGTCAGAAGAAAATATATAAATAAAAATAAAGCCTTTTAAACACCCCTTCGGGCATTTCAAAAAAGGACAACATAAGCATGGGTAGACTTGTGATAATAGTGTTGATAAGAGTCAATCGTACCCCATATGACATGAGTTCCCCCCTCCCAACCGTTGGGATTCTTTTCAAAGGGATCTTTGATAAATTTTCATTCTTTGTTTGTGAGCTTAGGGGTGGGGGTGGGGTGGGGGGGGGGGTGAATCGGTATTCCAAGGTACACAAACGGAAGAGTTTCCACCTCACAACCAAAGAGTTGCCTATATTCATTCTCTTTTCGTTGGCCTTCCCAAAGCAAAGTAGCTCGCTCTATGGAAATTTATTTTCAGACGCGAAAGCTGTCCGAAAAGACAAAGAATCAACTTCATGTTTTCACTTCATACAGATTTGCTATTGTAAATGTTCATATAGTTTTCTATAAAATTTGTTAAACTTTTCAAAGTTTGACTTCAGTCAATGCTAATATGGGGAATAAATAAAACGGAGGGAGTACACAAGTCATCAGATGGTACATAGTCATACTCACATCTACTCCATCTTCGCCGGAAGGGATCGATAATGATAACATGTAAAGTGCAATGTAAACATCTGAGTCTTGAACCAACTGATAGACAAACAGGAATATTCCACCAGCACAAGTTCATAAACAGTACACACAAGTACAGGTATTTACATCATTGATGTTTACTCCAAAACTTATTGGGGAGGAGTAATATTATACACAATGAAAAATACATGCAACCGTCTGCAAGACCTAGCGCAGTTGATTTGCTTACAAACCTAATATTATGTACACACACATATGTTTTCTTATTTATTCCTAACCAAGTGCCCACAATCTTCGTTGTACGGTACATAATTATGCTTGCTTCAATAACATGGTCCCGGCAAAGGACTAGATTATCAACAGGTAATCCGGTTTGCAGAATCTTCAGAATTCAGAAGCTTTGCTCCTGAAAAAAAAAACATCAAGAGATGTACCTTGTAAGTTAACATATCTCAACACTTCTCAAATTTAGAACTGGGATACATTGGCATTTGCATTTCAATGGGAGAAACATGCATGACCCCATTTGTTTCGATAGTTTTTTGTAGATGGTAGGCTAGGGCATGGTCGATCACTATAATTATTGATAGTTATGAGAAGTGATTGAGTTGAGATCGATCACTATATAGCTCTGAGCTAGGACCTGCTGATATTTCACACTTATAAACTGTAGACAAGAGACAAGGATCCGGTTGGGTTTTGGTTACCTTGATTGATGAATCAGTTCCAAGCCCCCTGGCCCTGGGTGTTGTAGTTGGGGAAAGTGACCCTGCCGGACTCGATGAGCTTGATGTCGCCGTCAAGTATCTCGTAGTGGCGGCGCACCTCGTCGGCTGTCTTGGTCCCGCCCATGGCGCGGGACACCTTGAGCCAGCGGTCTGGAGTGCCCTCGCCATAGTAGGCGAGTGCATCCTCGAACAGCTTGTTCTCCTTCTTGCTCCACTCCGGGTTGGCGCCGCCGCATGGTGAGCTCCTTGACCCAGAAGAAGACATCTCCAACTGGATAGGAATTGGTATATGTTTCTCGGAAACCGAGCTAAGTTGGCGCTGTGTTTTTGCACTTGAGAAGCTCTAGTGGTAATGGTTTGATGATCTCTGTGCTGCTTCAGTGCCTGCTATTTATAGGAGCTTGGGGCGCCGCCCCGCCAGCCTTGGCGGCTTGGCGCTCGTATGGTATCGGGATTGCCATCGGCTTGGCGACTGAAAGGTCAGTAAGGCTAATTAGATTCTGATTCTGAACTTTTTGGATGAAGGTGCTTCCTTTGGAATGTGGATTCTCGTGCTGGGGTGCGCGCTTGGGAACAAAGGAGCACGATCCATCCGCACGTCAACGTCTCAAATGCATGCATGGCTCATTATTTTATGTTTTCTTGAACTTGCAGCAAAGAGTCAGGTTTCTTATCTACTGGTCCTGCCTTGCATTTCGATCATTTTGCGACAAGATTCAAAAGTCCAACAGGTAGCGTTTCCGGTCACTGCACCAACGTGGCGCCATCCGGCCGGGCCGATGGGCAACATGGCAACGTCTGCACACTCTCAAGCTTCTCTATCGGATCGACGTGATAAGCAGATGCTCATGCTTCACTACTGGAATTCTGACGTACGCCGGGTGTCATGCTCTTCGCCGAGTGCTAAAACACGGACACTCGGCAAACATAACTTTACCGAGTGTCACTCTCGGCAAACCCAGCTTCACAGGAAACTGTCTTCTTTGTTGTCACTGCCCACGGCAAATAGGCACCGCACGGCAAACCGTGCAGAAGCCGAAAGCCGCTCACGGCAAAGAGGAGCCACGTGGCATGCCCGCCCGCAACAGACGACTCCATCAGTTACTGCGTTCTTTACCGAGAGCCGCCGTACGACACTCAGCAAAGTATATGCCACATCCTATTTTCTTTTTTTGTGTGTTCTTTCCTCCTGACATGGGGTCCTACTGGTCACATTTATCAGTAAAAGTTTCACATAACTTGCTAAATATTTTTGAAAAATGACGATATCGTTGCCGAGAGCCCCTCTCGGCAATCCCCCTGACCAGTAGGACAGCGTGGCCCACATGGTAGCTGACACTTTACAAAACTTTGCTGAGAGCTTGTCTCGGCAATGCTCGCTTCATTTCCGAGAGCTGTCCTCGGAAAAGGTGTGGCACAGCAGTAATGTCTCCCAGACGACCAGGTTACCGAGAGGTGCTCTCGGTAGTATATCTTTTTCCGAGTGTTGCTCTCGGAAATCTTTCCTATCCATTATGTTGTTAAGCTATTTCTTTTCTGATTCCTACAGATAAAAACAACTATAGTGCAATTTGGAGTAGTCCACACATATACAGTGCAATTTGCAATTTGGAGTAGTCCACACACATATACAGTGCAAAGAGAGCCAGTAGCAGACTGACACGTGTCAGCCACCTATTGGGTGACTTTGCCGAGAGTGGCTCTCGGCAAAGTTGGCCCTCGGCCTGTTCGCCTGGTCCCACATGTCAGGAGCTGACACGTGTCAGTCACCTATTGGTTGACTTTGCCAAGAGTGGCTCTCGGCAAAGTTGGCCCTCGGCCTGTTCGCCTGGTCCCATCTGTCAGGAGCTAACACGTGTCAGTCTGCTACTGGCTCTCTTTGCCGAGAGTGGCACTCGGCAAAGAAGGCCCTTGGCCTGCCCCCCTGGTCCCACGTGTCAGGAACCGCCGTCCCCGTCTGCTATCCGTTAGCTACTTTATTTTGCCGAGTGGTACTGTTTGGCTCTCGGCAAAGTCTTTGCCGAGTGCCCGTGTTCTGACTCTCGGCAAATTCCTATTTGCCGAAGAGGTGTACGCCGGGTGACGTTTGCCGAGGGTGACACTCGGCAAAGACTTTGCCGGCGGGTTCAGTCCTTTGCCGAGTGTCCGTGGCACTCGGCATTCATCAGAATTCCAGTAGTGCTTCTTGGAGGGTGCAGTAGCTCAGGGCCACATGCAAAAATTCGCTGGTCTTGTCAGTGCCCGCGCTATGGATCGAGCGAGATACTGGATAGAGAGATAGGCTAGCTAGGGTGGCGGTTGGGTATAGGAACGATCGAGCCGAGAGAATAATCTTCGGCACATCAGGAATGGGAATGGGATGCCCTTTTTGGCCGAGGAAAAGGAGTAAATATTCCGAATCCTGGCTGAAGTGATGTAGAGATCGCGTGGATTCCAATCCCGCAAGTTGGTGCCCTGGAATCTTGTTGGGCAATAAGCCGTGGCGAGCCAGGCGCAGTGCGTGCCTGCGTGCACGCGGTGAACGCGTCAGGCTCGGCCCATGGCAGCCTGGGTCGTGTGCGTGCGTGACCAGGTGTGTGTGCGTGTGTGTCTGTTGCGTCCGAGCGCACGGGCTGTTGCGTGTAAGCGAGTAGCGCGGAGCTCAGACCGCGTCGGGACGCTGGACCTGGTCGCACGGATTACGTGCGTGCGTGGCGGGAGCGCGGGCCGGGAGCGCGGTGACGTGGGTGAGTGCGTGTGTGGAGTGCGTGGGAGCATGGCGCGTGCGTGCGTGCGCGCGGGAATAAAGTCAGCTCCCTCCATCCTTTGTAGCTCGCCGGATCGAGTTTGTGCTCGAGGAAAAAGAAAGGCTGTACGTGCGGCGGGGCGTTCGAGCGCCGGCAAACCTCCTGTACTTGTTGTTTCCTTCTTCTCCCTCCTTCTTCTTCGTTGGTTCGGGCCACACACACACACACAGAGAGAGAGAGAGAGAGATCAGAGAGAGAGGAGAACTAGGGCTAGCTAGGGTTCGGGAGAGAGCCACGGCATCAACAATTGGCATCAAAGCGTCAGGTTGAGCAGTTCGCCGGAGTTCATGGCGCTGGTTACACACAGCGGCGGCGGTGCGGGCGGTTCGGTGTCCATGAACATGTCGATGCTCACGACAGAGAACTACACCGTGTGGGCGATCAAGGCGCAGGCGATCCTTGATGCCCACACGCTGTGGGAGGCGGTGGCGCAGGCGAACGACGCGGCGGTCAACGGGAAGAAGTGCAAGACGACGAGGGCGCTGATCCTGTCGGGGCTGCCGGAGGATGTGCTGCTCTCGGTGGCGACGAAGCCCACCGCCAGAGAGGTATGGGACTCTCTGAAGGTGCGTTTCGTCGGTGTCGAGCGGGTGCACGCGGCGAGGAGGGCGACGCTGCGCGGCGAGCTGGATCGGCTGAAGATGGAGGACGGCGAGTCCCTGGACGCGTATGCCGGAAGGCTTGCGGGCATGGCGGCGCGGTTCGCGGGCCTGGACGAGACGCTGGGTGACACGGAGCTGGTGAAGAAGCTCCTAGACACTGTGCCGGACCGGCTGTTCCCTGTCGTCGCCGGCATCGAGCAATTCTGCGCCCTCGAGGAGCTGACGTACGACGAGGCGCTCGGGAGGCTGCGCGCTTTCGACGAGCGGGTGCGGCGCCGCGGGCAGTGCAGCGGCGAGCGGGCGGACGGGCAACTCCTGTACATGGCGGCGCAGTGGCGAGCGTGGGAGCGGCGTCAAGGGGGAGCTCGCGACGATGACGACGACGCACGCAGCATGGCGACGCGGGATGGCGGCAACAGACTGTTAGAAAATTGTGGGCTATGCGGTCTACCCTCTAATTCCTCTGCCTTTTCCGTGGTGCCCCTCACAATGCATATTGAGGCCAGAGGGTAGGGACCTATTTATAGGCTCCACTTCTAGGTGTTTTAATATTCCACCTGTTTCCGGAAAAAACCGTGTGACTCCTGAACAATGTTACCAACCACAATAAAATATGTCAGTTTTTTCCGAGTCTAAATATACTAGTCCCTAGCACACATGTGTGGGTCATGTGCCATGATTAGATTGTATATGTGAGATCAACTTTCAATCTTAATCATGTGGGTCAACAGTCTGCAGAGCCGATCCTGAAAACAAACCCATCTCTTCCATTCTGTGATGTCCCGGAAAAAATACGTATGTACATATAAATTCCAATAGAGTCGATCCCTATTAATCCCTCTACTATATTCCATCACAGTCGACCTCGGCACCTCAAGTATTACTTCCTCGAGTAAAATTCCGCATCAATTATTCCCCGTCACAAACATTAATAATATGAGTAATTCCACGTTGAGTTAAATAAATAATAATAATGTTGAATAAATGTTGAAAGCCACATGAATTTCCAACACAGGCGTGGCCGCTGCTACAAGTGCGGCGAGCGCGGCCACTTCAAGCGCGATTGCCCGGAGCTGCGGAAGGCGCCGGCGGCGGAATGGGCGTTGCTGGCGGACGACGGACTCCTCTAGGCCACGGCTTAGGGGGAGTGTGTTGGGCAATAAACCGTGGCGAGCCCGGGCGCGGTGTGTGCCTGCGTGCACGCGGTGAACACGTCGGGCTCGGCCCATGGCAGCCTGGATCGTGTACGTGCGTGACCAGGTGTGTGCGTGCATGTGTGTCCGTTGCGTCCGAGCGCACGGACCGTTGCGTGTAGGCGAGTAGCGCGGAGCTCAGACCGCGTCGGGGCGCTGGACCTAGCCGTGCGGATCGCGTGCGTGTGCGGCGTAAGCGCGGGCCGGGAGCGCGGGGACGTGGGTGAGTGCGTGTGTGGAGTGCATGGGAGCATGGCGCGTGCGTGCGTGCGCGCGGGTATAAAGCCAGCTCCCTCCGTCCTCTGTAGCTCGCCGGATCAAGTTTGTGCTCGAGGAAAAAGAAAGGCCGTACGTGCGGTGGGGCGTTCGAGCGCCGGCAAACCTCCTGTACTTGTTGTTTCTTCTTCTTCCTCCTTCTTCGTTGGTTCGGGCCACAGAGAGAGAGGATAGAGAGAGGAGAACTAGGGCTAGCTAGGGTTCGGGCGAGAGCCACGGCATTAACAAATCTGAGAGGTTCCGTTGGCAGATTTGGTATCCAGTCTGATTGCTGCAGATTGTACGTGGTGGCTGCGTGAGCTAGTCAAGACACAGACCACGGGTACGTCCGTGGTAGTTCAGAGCGGCACTGCAAACCCTGTAAAAAAACCACTCGACGAACGGTGATCTCCGTGTTGTGAGGTTGCA